TCTATCTATCTATCTATCTATCTATCTATCTATCTATCTATCTATCTATCTATCTATCTATCTATCTCTGCCTCTCAACAGGCTGAGATCAAGGGAGGGTGGTAAACTACAGTCAAGTTAGATGTAAGACACCCTTAGTTTACATTGTGAGCTTGCCTTGGAAATAACTCTTTGGGCATGACTTGAAAAAAATCTTCTATTGTAAGGGCATTGGAGAGGAGGACCAGCATTTCATGGGCCCAGTTTTCAGACTGCATCAAAAGGCAAAAGCTAGCTGAGACGCAACATTTTTCCCCCTCAGCTTCCTGACTGCAGATGTGGTAGAACCAGCATCCTCAATTCTCTGGCTGCCAAGCCTTCCCCATCATGATGAACTTCAGCTATGAGCAGGAACAAACCCTTTCTTCCATAAGTTGCTTTGCTCTGATACTTTCTTTCAGAAATCAGGAAGGTAATTAATATGGGGCAGCCTGTTAACCAAACATAGCAAGAAGCAGCAATATGAGAAGCATGGGCCCAAAGAATAACAGGAGCCCCAAATGTAGGCCATGGAGGAAGATAAGGTATTAGTCTTAAGGGAAGTGGGGAAGAAATTACTTTTCCAGAATAGAGGTCAGTGAGTGTAGTGACATCATACTGTGAGTCAAGAGAAATACTTTTTGTGGTTTCCGCCCATTCCAAGACATCAGTGCCTTTCAGACCCTCTGCCTGTCATTGCGTATAGGACTGGAATATAGTGTCAAATGTTCTTCAGACCCAACTCTCCCTGTAGAGTCAGCTCCCAGGTACCCAGCACTGTTGATAAAAGAGCAATATAGAGGAAATAGTGGTGGTCCATCTATGTGCATGGACCAAAGAGTTCATCCTGACATTAACAACTTCTATTTAATTTCATCTTGATAACAAGCATTAAAAGGATAACCATGGATTTCACAGCATAGACCAACTCTGGCTGATAACAGCTGCTTGCAGCACCATGGGGAAAGGGATTCTTCAACTCTGACCAGCCTCAAGGGCGCAAAACCCGGCAGCTGACTCGTGATGCTTGCCTGTGGGTGTAGACCTAGAGAACCAGCCCCCCGCTGTCTCCTCTTTCCATCATGCATTCTCCATAAGTGTGACCAGGAGGCTCTCAGGGTTGCCATGCAGGTCAGAGACGGACCAGACAGAGTCAAGGACAGCGACATTAGGCCTCCCACTTGAACAGAGTTTGTCATGTCTCAGAATGACTTTTGTTCCATTTATTTGAGTATGCGCGCATGTGTGTGTATATATGTGTGTGTGCATGTGTGTACACATGTATGGATGTAAGAGGACAACTTCTAGGTATCAGCTCTCTCTGTTCACTCACCGGGTCCCAGGGATCGAACTCAGGTCATTGGGCTTGGAAACAAGGGTCTTGACTAGCACAACCATCTTATCGACCCTGAAGATTCATTTTGAAATTGTATCTTATGCCAATGCTGTGTCCAGGAGAGACTTTCTGTAAAACTTCTACCTGAGGCAGACCACAGGGGAGAATATTCCTTGTATAATACCCATTGTAGGGGTGTGGAATCCGGAACGTTTTAGAGAAAGCAATTCACAGGAGAATAGAGATAAGCACTCAAGATTTTGACTCCTGAGGGTCCACGTGTAGATAGCAGCACTCCCAAGCCCCCACTCTGTGTCTGAAGAAACGCTGAGACTCATGGGAGGAAAGTGAGCCGTGCCGCTTTCAGAAATCACAGCAAAAATAAACCAACAGGCACACGCGTGTTCAAGCAGCTCATAGTTTTATCATAAAATATAAACGTTCTAAATTAAGAGTCTTACTTTCTATCTTACCAACAACAACAAAAACAAAAACCAGTCATGTTAGCTAAACACAGGTGCCTGTGTGGTCTTACGAATAGGAGGGTGTGTCTGCGGTGTGCGCTACGTGAGGGAGTCTATGCAGGTTAAGTGTTGGTCAGTAGATGAGTCTGGTCTTGCTGTTTTCTGGCGGCCACCTGGTTGGAACCTTGACTTTCCAAACTTCACACCAAGCTGTTGCAGAATCCAGAAATCCAGAAACCTTTAGCCCTGGTCCGAGGGCACAGAGAGGTGGGGAGAGAGAAAGCAGTCTAAAAGCGGATTCCATTCCCACTGGAGGAAAAATAGGGGCTGTTCATCAGGGGGGCTCTGGACGCCGAGTTGAACCTGGAGAGGGGAGATAGGAACAGTGATGAAGTCTCTGGTGTTCCTGGAGAGACTGGGGAAAACATCATCTATTGATTTTGTGGCTGTCCAAGGTTGGAAAGCTGGAATGCGCTTGGAGGGTAAAAGGCTTTAACATTATACAAGGTTTAGGTTCTGGGCAACTAAAACCCCAAATAACACCGTTAAAGGACAATGAAGGGCTGTGTCCCTTACTATGTTGGTGCAGGGAGCTGCTGAGGGCACGTATGGATCATGTCTGGAGTCCATGCTGTCTCCACAAAGGGGCCACCAAAAATGAAGCGACCCGATTCTGAGCACCTCACCTCTAGGCCTGTGAGCACTTATCTGTCTTAGAGAAGCAAACACATTAAGGAAGTTCACAACTTCACAGAACATCCTGGCATCTGATCTCAGAGTTCAGCCAGCACTGGTGCAATTGCCCCGCATAGCTGCTCCCCCCCCTCAGCCCCTTTGTCCCTATACTCCTCAGAGCAGCAACCCTGAGAGACCACTGTGTGAGTGCTGGGCACACTGCTCGACTCTCAGGGAAGCAAGGAGAGGCATGCCTCTACTTCAAAGAGCAGAAATCCATACGCCTTCCTGATTTCTTCACCAACATACTTGTATGCACACTTCAAACAGTTCAAAGGTCAACTCCTCCATGGACTGTCCCCTGACCTCTTCAGATGAGACTGATGCGAACTTCTGGGCTCTGACTGCGATGCCCTCACCCATCCTATCATCCATTGGATGATGCGAACTTCCGGGCTCTGACTGTGATGCCCTCACCCATCTCCTATCATCCATCGGATGGAAGTAGAGCTTAATACAAACTTCAGCAGAGCAAACAGCAAGATTTAGTCTAATCCAGGGATTCTCAAGCACTTCTCAGCTGGGCAGATGCGCATTACGAAGGAGAGTCACCTTCGCTCTCCCATCAGATGGAGAGACAACAAAGCCATGTTAGAGGAGGGAGGAGAGATGGAAACAAACCAGGGTGAGGGTCTAATGGCCTCCGCTGCTTACCTTTGTGGCTCCCTAGCTGTATCAGTCCACGGACCAGCCTTCTCTCTAAAACAAGTTCCAGGACAGCAGCAACGGTTACCTGGCTGCTCAGCACCCAACCCAGGGCCTGCCAGCACATCCCTAACAGTCTAATTGCCTATGGAAAACACATCTCTTTTTCTCTTTTAAAAACCACACTGAAGGGGATGGAGAAATGGCTCAGCAGTTAAGAGCATTGGTTGCTCTTCCAGAGGATCCAGGTTCAATTCTCAACACCTACATGATAGCTTGCAGCCATCTATAACTTCAGTCCCAGGGGATACTGCACCTTCTTATTACCTTCTTGGGCACTGCACACCTATGGTGCATAGACATACATGAAGACAAAACACATATATCCATAAAATGAAAATAAATATATATGCCTTCTGAATTATAAATGATCGACAGTGATGGCAACACAGCCTATGCCTGTTATCCCAGCACTTGGGAGGCCGATAAAGGAAGATCACAAATTTGAGGCCAGTTCAGACTCACTAGACCCTGTCTCACAAAAACAGGGGCTGAGGTGTGCCTCCGTACAAGAGTATTTGCCTAACATGTAGAAGGTCCTGGGCTTAATTCCCAGCACTTGGAAGGCAAGAAGTGATGTTATTATAAGATGCCCTAGATTTTGATCTGATTTATAAAATAAAAGCGGAAACAGTAGCAACAACTATCAATAATAAATCAACCATGCTGTCCCTCATATCCGATCACTGTGCTCCACAGCCCCAGCTTCTCTGGGTGGATCACCAACAGTGAAATCACCAAAGGTCGAGACTGCATGCACATAGAGGGCCAGGAGGAGAAACAGTGCATATGGACGAAAGCTACCAAGAAATGCTTCCTGGAGGAGGAAGAGGAGGAGGAGGAGGAAGAGGAGGAGAGGTAACAGGGAGGTAAGGAGGGAGGAGGAGGAGGAGGAGGAGGAGGGAGGGTAACAGGAAGGGGAGGAGGAGCTACATCAGCTCCTAGCAGAGGTTCTCAACCTTCCTAATGCCGCAACCCTTTAAGACAACTCCTCATGCTGTGGCCCCCAACCATAAGATTATTGATGTGGGATTCCCCTCTATATGCTCTGAATATGTTTTATTACCATTGGTTAACAAAGAAGCTGCTTTGACTTATGACAGGGCAGAATAAAGCCAGGTGGAAAATCAGAACAGAGTTATAGAGAGTGGATGGAATCAAGGAGACGCTATGTAGCTGCCGAAGGAGAGAGACGCCGGAGCCTTACTGGGAGGCCACAGCCTCATGGTGATACAGAGATTAATAGAAATAGGTTAATTTAAGGTGTAAGAGTTACTTAAGAAACCTGAGCTAATGGGCCAAACAAGTGTTGTAATTAATAAAGTTTCTCTGTGATTATTTGGGTCTTGGCAGCCAGAAACGAAAGTACAATCTCCATTTACAAATTATTTTCATTTCTACATCATAACTGTGCCTCCTCATGATCTTGGGTGAACCCTGTGAAAGGGTCATTGGACCTCAAAGGGATCGTGACCCACAGGTTGAGAGTCACTGTCCTAGAGTGTGATGAACATGCATCCTGACTTACTTGAGGCAACTGATAAAATACTGTTCCAGAGCAAGTGTTACTCATGCTTCAGTAAATGCTCAAACTTAATATTTTATTGCTTGGAGGATAAATTGTATAGTTCTCATTCTTGATAGGGTATGCAAATCAAGTGGACAGAGGGACTGAGGGCTTTCCTCCTCCTCCTCCTCCTCTTCCTCTTTTGTGTCCTCCTTCTCCTCCTCTGCCTCTTCCTCCTCCTCCTTCTGTTCCTCTGAGAGCATGGGGCCCTTGTTCCTGTCTATCCCACTTCATCCCCTTTTACCTATTGCTTCCTTGCTTTTGATGACCCTTCCTGTCTTTCAGAACAGATCAACTATCTACCTATGGCCACACATACATCTTCCCTTGCCTGATCCAGCCTCACCAGGTCTTGTTCAGTCCTCAGCTTCATAACTCCCTCAACAACGATACTACTACCCAGAGTTTCCCCATGTTGGCCCCCATAGTGCTCGGCTTGCATTTCCACACTTGGATCATGTGATCCCCTGCAGAATCACTTCCTGCACATCACTTCCACTCTCTTCCTGATTCCCCCATGGTATACACACACACACACACACACACACACACACACACACCTCACTACAACTTGCTTCCCAAATTTTTTCCCCAGTCGCTTTGCCCCTTGTAGCTCCTCCACCCGCTGGAGGCCCCAGAACTGGGCCTTGGGTCTCCTCTATGCATGTGCACACCCTAGTGATTCATCTTGTTCCATGCCTTCATCTGTCATTTACGTTCTAATGAACCCCAAATTCATTACCAGCCCCAAACTTGCCCCAAAGCTCCAGGCTCCTGCATCCGCCTGTCTACCAAGAGTTGCACTCATCTACCGGTGATGGTTTCAATGAGAAATGCCTCCACCCATACTCTCAGGCATTTGGAGACCCAGTCCCCAGTTGGTGGCACTGTTTGGGGGAAGTTTAGGGGGTGCTGCCTCCTAAAGGAACTACTTTTGCTGAAGGGCAGCCTTTGAGAGTGTAAGGCCTCTACTGACAACTCATTTGCTCTCTCTGATTCAGGCTGGGGCTCAAAGTGTGAGCTCTCAGCCAACCAGTTCCTGCCTTCCTGCCTGCTATTTGTTGCCACGCCTCCCTCCAAGATGGACTTGGATTCCTCTAGGACCATATAATCTCTCCCTTCTGTAAGTTGCTTTTGACCTTGATGGTTTATCACACTAAAAGTAACTAACATTGACAAGTAGTTCCATGTCCACGACGGAACCCTTGACAAACAGCCTTGCTCTAATCACGACAGCCTAAGCATTTGCCACTGCCACTCATCTGGGTCACAGTGCAGAAACCTAGGACTTGTGCTGTCTACCCCGCCCCCCCAAGCTGGCCCATCCTCGTCCCTTGTCCCTATTCCCTATGTAACCATGATCGAGGCCCACTGGTTCTGCCAAGAAAATGAGCATCCTAGATGGGGTCACATGTCCGTTTTCTCACAGGAACCAAGCCCCGTCTACGCCGTCAGCATCCGTTCATGGGCAGCACTGAAGACCCCAGGCTTGACTCCTGCGTCAGCCCTCACGCCCATTGACCATTCTTCATACCTTGGCCAACATAATCTGCTCTACACAGGAAATGAGAGCATGCTCGTCCCCAGGTCAAAGGTCTCCAGGACATCCTGCTGTTCTCAAAGCACTTACCATGCTGATCTGTCCCAACCTGTCTAGCCTTGACTGATTTCTGATTTCTGTTCTACCCACTCTCACCATTCCCTTGCACTCCGTTCACTCAGGGACCTTTGCATGGCTAATTTTTCTGGGTGGAGTGCTGCCTCTCACACACAGTAACGGCCATGGTTCAGGAGGCCTTCCTTGCCAAGTGTGGTAGTTCATAACTTACTCCCAGCACACATACTGTGTGGGGGAGACAGGATGATGGCTATAAATTCAAAACCAGCTCTAAGTAGCATAGTGAGACCTTGTTTAAGGAAGAAATAAGAGGAAAAGAGAAGAAGAGGAGGATGAGGAGAAGGAAGAAGGAGAAGAAGTAGGGGGAAGAGAAGAAAAAGAGGAAGAGGAGGGAAGGAGGAGGAAGAGGACAAGAAGGAGAAGAGAAAGAGGAGAAGAGGAAGTGGAGAGAAGAAGCCTTCTCCGCCTTTGGGCCTCTCTGATGACACGTTTGCATCTTGTCTCTGAACACACAGAGACCATGAGCTTTGTAAGAGAAGAAAGCATTTTATGTTTCTTGTTCACTCTAGTTCACATTGCCTTGGACAGTGCCAGGCCCAGGAATAGCTCTAGCCAGTTTATTTTGTTTTGTTTGAGACAGGATCTCACCATGTAGCCCAGGTTGGCTTCAAACTCAAGATCTTCCCAAGTCACTTCCCAAGTGTTGGGATTACAGGCATGTGCCCACAAACTCAAAAATCAAGAAGATTTATATGTGCGCATATACATGTGTGTGTATGCATAGATGCATGTACATGCTTGTGTTCAAGCATACAGAGACTAGAAGTCAACTTTGGGAGTCTTTCTTCATGAACTATCTACCATGGTTTTGGAGATTCTCTTACTGGGTCTATAGATCACCAAGCAGACTAAGCGAGCTAGCCAGTGGGCTCCAGGGGTCCACCTGTCTCTGTCTCCCCAGCACTGGGATCACAAGTGTGTACCACCCTGCCCAGCTTCCGATGCAAAATCTGGGGATCAACATCAGGTCCACAAGCCTGCATAGTGAGCACTTATGGACTGAGCCATCTCCCAGTTCCTTCCATTGGGTTTTGTCAGTTTATTTGCTTGTTTTTGTTGTTTTGTTTTGTTTTTTGAGACAGGGTTTCTCTGTAGCTTTGGTGCCTGTCCTGGAACTAGCTCTCATAGACCAAGCTGGCCTTGAACTCACAGAGATCCGCCTGCCTCTGCCTCCCGAGTGCTGGGCTTAAGGCATGCACCACCACTGTCCAGTTGTTTGTTTATTTTTTGATAAATGAACAAACCATCCTCTTTAGAAATCCAGGCTGGCACCTGTCTCCGGCCACATCCTCCCGGTTTCCCCAGCTTCCTGAGGCATCATTATCCCCACTCACCACCTCCCCTTGTTTGTGGCTCTTCTCTGTCTCCAGTGTTTCCCGCTCTTCCCAGCTTTGTGCCTACATCTTGGACTGTCCCTTCCTGTCCCTCTCCCCACCCACTGTCTCCCCAAAGACACGCAGGCCCCAGGCCTCTGCCCTTTGTGTTTTACAAGTCCTCTGGCCCTCTGGACAGCCAGCACTCTGGTTTGTCCCTGGGAAGCATCACGGGCGGTAGCACAGATGTGACTGCTAGCTGGGGGGGGGGGGTCCTCTGTGTCCCTGGCAGCCTCTTTCACTCTCTCCTCCAGGAAGGTAATAGATAACCTCTTGTTGAGACCTCCTGACTACACCCTGTCTCCTGTTCTCTCCCGTAGGCCTGCGTGTTCACTCTGATGTGCACAGCCTTTATTAGATCCCCAGGCCGAGCAGTCCAAAGCCTTTAATAATCCCATCTCAACCTCCTTTTCCAATCCTATTTTCCACCTTTTCCAGGGACAAATCTACTACTTCAAACCACACACGCCTTTGTCCCTAGGCCTCTAGTTTGCCTTGCACCTTTAGGGCTTGAAGTCATGTGCCTAGTATGAGTTAGAATCTGGGTTCAATTCCTGGCCCCTCAGAATCAAGAGCTCAAGGGGGCATTTAAATGATTGCCTAGCCCCTTCCCACTGCAGGGCCCGACTCTCCCTGCCTAGATTGCCTCCTCCAGGAATTGCATTCACTAGGATACCCCTGTGCCATCAGAGGTCCTGCCTCTGGCCCGGACCATTTCATCTTCACGGTACCAGACCATGTACCATCCTGCCAGTCCTCAGTCTTTTTCTTTATGTGTATGTATGTGGGTCTGCATTAGTTTACATATGTAATATATGGGGGAGGGATGCCTGCAGAGGTTAGAAGAGAACATTGAATCCCCTGGAACTAGAGTTCCAGATAGTTTTGAGCTGTCAGACTGTCAGTGCTGGGAACCAAACCTGGGTCCTCTGTAAGAACAGTAAGCTGGGCCATGTCTCTAGCCCCCTAGCCCTACATTTTTTGAATGGAAGAAGTATGCCTTATTATCTATGAATTCCCTGTAAGCTAAGCTCTCATTAACCCCATGAATTAACACAGTACTTTCTAGTGTGCATGAGGATGGTGGTAGGGGTTCTACATGCCACACTGTGCTCTACAAAATAAAAGGGAGGAGAGGAGGGGAAAGAGGAGGAAGTAGAGGAGAAAGGAAAGACATAAAAAGAAGTCATGGATATCATATTCAAATACCACCTCTTGAACATTCCCTGAGCACCCCGGGAAATTAAATGATCTGAGAGTTCCTACTGTCTTTGTTTCTCACAGTTTCCCCTGAACAGATCCAACTATCCAACCTCTCTGAAACATTGATCCCTTTTCACAAGATATTAGGGGAGATGCAAGATACAAAGGACAAGATTCTGGGGTCATGCCGTGGGTCAGGAGGCCAAAAGGTATCTCCTGGGCAAAGTGAGGAAGGCAGGAATCAATGTCCTTAACCTAGAACCTGAGTTTTTCCAAGTGGGACACACACGCCCCATGGTCTGCCTAGGATTCTGAGGTCCACAGCAATGGTATGGCACCTCCTGCCTTGGGTCACCAATACTAGCTGAGGTTTTGACTTGTGGGAGTGAGTAGCCACCTGTTAATTATGTTAAAGCAAACACAACTTTGTAACTCCAAACCATGCACAATCCAAAAGGAATTTTCACCCTAATTTCCCAGTTTGTGTTGATAGTTTGCAGCTGAGACCCTTGCACAAACTCAGGAAATGCCAGGCTTTTATACTGATTGGGGGGCATCAATGGCTAAGCTGTGGGGGACCCTTCACCAGGACCTGTCAGAAGTCCAGGCTAATCCTGGAAGATTAGTCTGGCAAGGACTCCAGATGCATCAGGAAGTGGATAGAGATTAGTTAACCACATTCTGTGTAAATCATCCAATGATAATGATAGCATCCTGAGCCACCTGTGAAGTAATTGCACAGCTGCAGTTCTACAACTAGCCTGTAGGTGGCAGTCTGCAAAATACCTTTCAAAGGCTCCTCCTAAATCCCAGCCCAGGCTCACCTCCACAGGTGTTTCTCCAGGCCCTCAGAGACATTGGGCACAGGCACAAAGACATGCCCCCACCACCACCATGGGGCACATATACCAAGAAAGGCTCTATGAAGCCCACCCCGCTCACCTGCCTTCTCTGACGGCCATCTGGATTCAGGTCAGCTCCCCACCCCCACCATGGCTGAGGACTCACCCATATCCCTGGGTGAAGAGGTATGGAGGCCCATCTCCTGCCATTGGGGTAGGATCTCGGGGGTTGGCGGGCAGCTTCTGGGGCGTCCTCTGAGGATATGGATAGTTGGGCTGGACGAAAGGGATATAGCTCATCAGGGGTGTGTAGGAAGAGCGGAAAACTTGCTGTCCCATCTGCTGTGGGTTGTACGGTGTCACCTGCAGGGCAGAGAGAAGAAAAAGATCAACATCTCCCAGCCCTGACCCTAACCCCAGTTGCTACCTTATCAATCTGTGTATGCCTTCCTTGTCTTATGTATCTGAGTCTCAAACTCCTAATCTGTAAAATGGACAGACGCTATCCACTCTGCTGAGATTCACGCTATTGGCTTCTACCTTCAGACCTCAACAAACTGTGAGCCCTAGACAACCTTACCCAGTGAACATCCCTGTCAGGGAAGAACAGATCTGTGCTGTGAAGACTGCTGTGTAGCTGTCAGCTATGGCTGTCAAGGGCTTGAAATCCAGCTGGGATGAATGAGGCGCTAAAGTCTGGATGCTATTGAGTTGTGATTCCTGTAAATGGCCACACGTGCCTAGCAGCTGCAGCATTGGCTGACATATAAGAAAGCACAAAAAGGAGGCAGGGCAACAAAAACCTGAGGGGAAGACGGGAATTCAGTGGGATTTCTGCCAGATACCTGGGCAAATGCCCACTGAGGACTGGGACTCCTCTTTTCTTACCCCCAACTAGCAAGGGTATCACCCATCTTATTCATTGTTCTTTCTGCAGCTCTGAGACAGCAGAGTGGATGCAGTAAGAGAGGCCAGGGAGGAAGTGGAAAGAAGGGGGAGCACTAAGCATCAGATGGCATGATGGGGAGCACTCATCAGGAACAACATGTCCCATTACTGGCAGGTCTTTCTTCACATGGATCCTCCTGCGTGCTGAGAGAGTTTCTGACAGAGCTGGCAAAGTTTCTGGATTCCCATCATAGAAGCCACCGTACTCAAAGGTCCCCTTTCCCTTTCCCTACAAGTTCATGTCTAAGATAAACCCACTTGGTGGGTGGTGGTGGCTCATTCCTTTAATCCCAGCACTCAGGAGGGTGGTAGAGGCAGGTGGGTCAGCTTGGTCCCTACAGGGCAAGCTTCAGGACAGCAAGATCTGCTACACAGAGAAATCCTGTCCCCAAAACAAAACAAAACCCCCCAAAAGGCCAAAATGAATAAAGAAAAGAGAATAAGCTACTTAGTCAAATGTGTCTGAACCCCTCGGGCTGCGAGAGGCCCTTCACCTCATGGCTGTCAGGCTGTGAGAGGCCCGTCACCTCACGGCTGTTGCTACAGCTCCAAACCCTGTGAGACAAGACCCTCTGCTCTTATCCTGATTGTCAGTTTCATGGAGTTTAGAATCACCTAGGCTGTGCTGTGAGGGTGTTTCCAGAGAAATTTAACTGAGATAGAACCACCCTAAATGTGGACAGTTTGAGTCCTAGGGGTTGGGGTTTTCGACTGGATAAAAAGGGGGATTAAGATCACTCGAACACCAGCCTTCATCTCTCTTCGCTTCCTAACTGTGGGTGCACTGTTGACCAATGGCCTCATGCTCCTGAGTCATGTCTTCTCGCCATGATGAGCTGTACTCTCCAACTGGGCAGAGAAATAAGAATGACCCTTCCTTCAGTCGCCCTTGCCAGTTCTTCATCATGACAAAGAGCAAAATGACACAGGTTCCCATTACTTCCATTTGAGAGATAAGGAAGCTGAGGCTCCCAGAAGTAAAATAACTTGTCTCCAGTCCTAAATTACAGCCAGAACCCCCAGGGAGAGCCCAGAGTCTGGTTCTGTTCCAGCCTTCCTATGCTGTGCACTCTCTGAAGGCTGAGCCCCTCCCCCAATCTTTGCCATGCCACTCAAAGAAAGGATGCAGGGCCCAGCGATACTGAGTGTGGGTACTGAAACCCTGGAAGGACGACTGTCCCACTAGTTTGTCATCATGAGAGATACAAAAGAACCCAAGAAACCGCAGTGGGCTTTGTCTTTAAAATTCCTATCACGCTTTATACAGATCCTTCAGATATATACACACTCATAATTGCCTAAAAAGACTCTTTGAGCCATGAGGGGGTGTTACTGTTTGCAGGTGGAGGTGATGTGACTGGGATCCTGAGACAGGCTCTCTCATCCCAGTTAGGATGGGCAAGACTCTTATTCCTAATGAAAGAGTCTTGCCCAAGCTAGTTTCCACCTAAGGGCCCGTCTCTACCCGCCAGAACATACCAGCATTATGCCAGCTCAGAGAAGAGGCTTTTCAGAGAAAGGACGGGAATTCCTGGGAGGGGTCAAGGTAGAATAAGCTGGAAGTGAAATGTGGATTGTCCATGGACCTGTGTGTGAGGTGCAAATCCACTTGGGAATGAGGAACACTTGTCATCAGCCCCAATCTAAATGATTTTGCTCATATCCCATCTTTGCCCCAATACTAGTACCTCTGAGCCTGTTTCCATGTCTGTTGATGAGTATATGTGAGCTATATGTGAGCAAGTATGCCAGCCAAGCAGCTAGAGAGTATGTGAGTAACTACATGGACTTCTCGTGTGAGTGTGTGTGTGTGTGTGTGTGTGTGTGTGTGTGTGCGCGCGTGCATGTGCAGGTACATACACCACTGTGCACATGTGGAGGTCAGAGGACAACCTTGGGTGTCAGTCCTCACCTTTCACCTTATTTTGAAGCAGGGTCTCTTGCTGTTCAGTGTTATATATGTCAGACTAGCTGATCCATGAGTTGTTGGGGATTCTCTTGTCCCCATTCTCAACCTTGCCATAGGCACACTGGGATTACAGATTCATGCTACTGCGTCTAGCTTTACATGGGTCCTAGGGGGTCAAACTATTCCTCATGCTTGGAAAGTAAGCACTTTATGCACCAAGCCATCTTCCAAGCCCACCACCTATTTCTCTCTGTTTCTCTCTCCGTAGGTCTGTCACTATCTCTGCTGCCTACTGCAGCACTTTTGTGTGTCTATGTGCAAGAGGTGTCCAGCATGGTGACCAAGAGCCCAAGGCTGCTCTTTAGTTAATACCTAAGAGGCAATGGTACCTGAAGTACCAATGCAATTCATACTGCCACATTCAGCAAATAAAACTACAGGACACTAGTTGAATCCATACCAGAAATAACCTGTGAATGCATTTTTAACATAAATATGTCTCGTGCAATATTTAAGGTTTACTTATACTAAAAGTGTATTCATTATTTATTTGAATTTCAAAGCAAACTGAGTGTCTTGTTTGGGAACTAGCCAGCTCACATAGCATGAGGATGACTCTTGCCACACACATGCTGGGCAGAGCTGTGGGGTTTGATCCAACTGAAAGTGTGTGGACATCTCCATGCACAGAGCCGAGGCTTCTGGAAGGACTGTGAGTTTCCCTTTATCTTTACATGCTTCTGTCACCTGATGAGGGAGAAGCAATAGCTCCTGCATCTTCGGCTCAGACCCCAAAAGGTCAAGAACAGACCCTGATGCTGATCCACAGCCCAGTTCAGCCAACCCAGAGGCTTGTGGGAAAGAGCTAAAGACTCCTGGAAAGTCTCTGAGTCGTTGAAGCTAATTGCTATCACAGCAAACCCAAACTTAGGTGTTACTGTTTTGGTTTAATCTCTTTATCCCTCAGTTTCCCCATCAATAGCATGCCTCATAAGGTGGTGGAGAAGGTTAAAGTAGTGTAGGAGATGCCTTCAGGAAAGGCCTGGCATTTTCATGCAATAAGAACTCTTTTAAGTCACATCTGGCTTCACCGTGTGCTAAGTCGGTGAAGAACTAGAAAGTAATGGTGATGACAGCTAGGCTAGGATGAAGGAGTGGATAGCTACCTGACCTGAAGGCCTTGTGGAGTCAAGGCACAGAAGGAGAAGTATCTACTCACCTGTCGGGAGTAGCACCCCAGTGGGGGGTGCACGGGTTGCTGGTAGGGCATCCTTGTTGACCGCTGTGGGTACAGGCCCTAAGGAGAAAAAGAAAGGTTCCCAGTGCTATGTGAGAGTCCCTAGCCTGAGCACAGAGTCCCCCTCACAGGCCTAGAGTCCCACTCACAGGCCTAGAGGAGTCCCACTCACAAGCCTAGAGGAGTCTCACTCACAGGCCCAGATCTACATTCTAGGTTGACCTCCTCCCATCCCTCAGCTGTCTCTTTGACGTTGCCTAGAGCTGACTGGATCCAGCTGAGGTCAGCAAAGCTCAGGCCACTTGGCAAGCCCCTTTCGATAGACATGGAATCCTAACTGAATGTTTAGGGGTGTTTTGGAAGTGCCAAAGACTTTCGGCCTTTCAGAGGCTGATCCATGTCTCTGAGAAAGCTACTCTTTTTTTTTTTTTTTAAAGATTTATTTATTTATTTTGTACACAATATTTTGCCTGCATGTCTGCCTGCAGGCCAGAAGAGGGCACCAGATCTCGTTACAGATGGGTTGAGAGCCACCATGTGGTTGCTGGGAATTGAACTCAGGACCTCTGGAAGAACAACCAGTGTTCTTAACTGCTGAGTCATCTCTCCAGCTCGAGAAAGCTATTCTTCAGAGGTGTGTGGGACCAGGCCTGTGAAGCCTGTAGGAAGCCTGTAGGAACGGCCACATTCTCATTGTCGGATCTGCATACATAGGTGTGGAGACCAGAGGTGAACCTCCTGTGTCATGTCTCTGTGGCTGCCCACCTTGTTTGTTTGTTTTTGCTTTTTAAAGATAGAGTCTCTCGCTGACCTGAGGCTTACCAAGTAGACTATGTGGGCCACTGGGAAGTCCCAAAGATCCCCACCTCCGCCTCCCCAGTACTAGGACGGCAACTCTGTCTCACCATATCCAGCTTTATTTGAATCCGGGTGGATCAAACCCAGGTCCTCAAGTTTGCAAGGCGAGCACTTTAAGAACCAAGCTGTCTCCTCAGCCACCATGGGCCTGTTCTACTTTACCCTAAGCCAGTTCTACCTTTCACCTAAGATGCGAGGTGTCCTATACATCTGGGCCCCAGTATTGAAAAAGCCATGTTCAAGTATACGTGCATGTGTAGGGGCAGGGGCTAGGGTCTAGGCAGCTGTGATTCTGTGTACAGATGTGCAACAATGGCCCCGTGTGTGCTCATTAGGGTTTCTGCCAGCGGCCTGTGTGTATCTTTTGCCCGTGGTGATGGTAAGGAGGAAGATAAATAAAGGAACGCCAACAAAAAGCTGAGAAAGCACCTGGGCACATAGTAAGGGCTCTGTAAATGTTAAGTCTGTCCGTCATCCCCCCACTGGCCCCTCCCTCTAGGAGCTCTAGCCGCTTAGCCCAAGGGTGGAGCCTGGGATATCCACGTGTTCAAACAGATACAAAACTCACAGACCTAGCAGAAATGTTACAGAGGGTGGGCCACCCGTGACTGCTCCAACTGAGCCAACCCATGATGGCTCCAACTGATTACCCAGTTGTTACCTACATCACAAGGGTGCCCAACCCTAGCCCTGCATGTTCCCACATGGGGACCAGGAGAGCTATGAAGGCAGCCTAACATAAAATTGTAAGCTTACTTAAAACATCATTGTAAGATTGTTTTGCAACTATTTTATAACTTGACAGGTTGATTCTAGGGCATGGACATCACAGATGACAAAGACCTGTCAAAATGCCATGTAAAGTAAGCATGTTTGCTCTTGCAACCCAAGGGCCATGGGTTGTACATGCCTAGATTTAACGTGTTGCTGGAGGCAACTCATCGCCATCCCGTGTGGCCGAGAGACACTAAACATCTGGACACATCGCACCTAGCATGATGCTCAAAGTCAGTGCACCTCTCAGTCTGGGACCTCTTTCCAGAGCATTCTTTATCCCAAAGTGTTACTTCTGCTCTGGGCTTGGTTTGGGTCAATCACCAAAATGGCAGTGGTGGACACCATGCTCCTGATGATACCCCTTAGGTCCTCATGAAGGGCCCCAGGATCTCTGATGTGAAGTTACCTCAAAAGCCTCCCAGCTCCTCTTGTTCCAGGTTCCAGGTCTCTGAGACTCGCACTTCCCATCAGAGAGCCCTGCCCTTCCTCCGTCACTAGGCAGTGACACTTGAGACCTTCCTGTCTTGGCCCCTCCAGCTTCCACCAGTCCCAGCCCGAAGTCAGTCCCTCCCCCACCTCATGACCTAGTGCCTGAAGTTCTGCAACTACTTCAGCCTCACTCACCACCCATCACAACCTCGCCCAGTCCCTCCCACCCCACCCTAGAATGAAAGTAGTCAGAAAAGTCTTCCCAAAAGAATGACCTTGCTCATTCCAGGCTGCAGGCCTCTGGTCAGGCTGTTCAGGGCGCCTCGACTGCCGTTTCCTTTGAACTCCACTAACACGCTTAACTGTCACTTCTTCCAGGACTGCCAACACCAGACAGCCATCCACCAACACCACCTGTTCTGTACTAGGCCACGCTGGGGCCACCGGAGGGCATACAGCTGGCCAGCCCTGCCCCCTCCTTGTAAAAGACGTTGCCTCATTCATTAGTATGAGAAAGACTGCCTGACTCTAGGGATGTCTGCGGTTATTAGAATTGCAGCTTTGTAAAATCGTGAGCAAGTAAGGGCGAATAAGCGTTGACTCCTCTTCGCTTGAGGCCATGGCCTTTCCCCACATGGCTTCCTGTCTTCATCTGAAGATGCTCATGCTTCTCCGTGTTAGGGACCTTGTCTTCCTATCTCTGAGTCTCTCCACCACGGAACTCTGAGTAAATTGGATTTGGGGCCTCATCTTTATTCCTTAGGCCCTGTGTGGAACAGACCGTGATAGACTAGTCCCCTGTTCTCTCTGCCCCCTCAAGGTCTACTGAACTCCCTGACCCCCTATTCTTGGAGCTGAATATTAATGCAATGAACATCTGTGTCACCCTGGAGATTTTTAAGAGTTCTTCCCTATGCTTGGGCTCAATTAATCCTTACAACCAAATCAGTTTCTGCGGCTGCTGTAATTATGATAAGCCCGGCTCCCCTACAAACTGGGGCAGTTAAGGCACTTGCCCAAGGCCACACAATGAAGATGCTGCAGAGCCCTCTCACCCATCTTCTGGTTTCCAGATTTGCCTTCTCTCTACTCTATCAGGCCTCCTGATCAGTTGTCTCAAAACGAGCACGAGGCGATTCTGAGACACCATGAGAAGGCAGAGATGCTGTCTTTAGCCACCACATAGGAGGGTCAGTTCCTTCACTGCCATCTTTGGTTGAGCCCATTCACTGCCTGAACTGTCTCACAAAATCTAGTAGGTCCTCCTAGCTAGGCCAGGGCATTACTTCTTTGCAGAAGTGGATGGATGGATGGGTGGGTGGGTGGGTGAATGGGTGGATGAATGGGCAGATGGGTGGATGGATAGATGGGTGGGTGGGTAGGTGGGTGGATGGATGAATAAGTATATGGATGGATGGATGGATGGATGGATGGATGGATGGATGGATGGATG